ACGAAGCTCCCCTCCTATGTGCCTTGTTGCCTGTTTCCTGAACCCTCTGCTGACCTCCCTTGGACCGCCTATCGCTTCTGACCCTCTGCTGCCTGCCTCGACCTCGGATTACCCTCGACTACCTCTTTGGATTGCCCCCTGGTTACCTTGCCTTCGGACCCCTCCGGCTGCCTACTGCCAGCGGGTTCCCTCTGTGCCGCACCTGATAAAGATTAAACAGAATAAACAGTGAAGGGCAAATGTGGATTGGTTGCTTCAGATTACAGTCCTCTACAAGTGCTGTTTGCCTTATCAAAGGAGACTTTACTTTATTTGTGGTCTTTTATCGGTAGGCTTTGGTTCACTAAACTTTCCTATCATATGTTATAAAGAGTGGATTAAACTAGACAATCCTTCCACTCTATAGACGTGCACACTTTAACACCGTATTTATTAATTAGAACTTCATGAAATCCAATAAAAACAGTCTGCAAGAAAAGGAATTGATATTATTTCATCTCTAATCTGGGATGGCAAACTGGGAACTGAACAATCGTAATAACACACTACACATTATAGAATTGCTCTCTGAGTATGCATACAGATGGAACAGTGGCCTAGATACAAAAATCCTAATAAATGAAAATGCAATAACATTACCAGAGCAAACTACTGAATATATTGGAAGCATAAAGCACATGCAGTTCAGGGAGATTTATGCAGCCTTTCATTACTCAGATTTAACATAATTAAATACAGTGACTTAACTTAAAGAACAGCTTTGAATTGAGCGACGTTGGCATAAAAATTTTCCCTCCAACCTCCTGAATGACAGACACCTACCAAAATACTTTTCTTTAGCCCTGCTCCTGAGTTCTTTGCTGTGTGACTGTGTTTGTTGCCGCACAGCCTTTGAAGTCCTGGCTGTGTTCAGCTCCTATTTGGATCAGCTCATTTCTTTCATATTCATGGCAGCCTACAGTCCTCAAGAGAAGTATGCCCCCATCCATTGGGATAAATGCAAAGTAGGAGCTGGGCACAACAGGGACTTATTTCTGCAAAGGGTGTGTGGTGCTGGGCAGGACCACATGGTGAGGAACTTGGGAGGGAGGCTGAAGTTAAACATTTTGGTATATGCAGGGCCATAACTACAGATCACAGGGCCACATAGCAAAAATGTGATGGGAGGGGCTATGATGACTTTTCTCTAAGCTGTGAGTAACGATACCAAGATCCCAAAGACCACTCTTGTGCATCTGAAGCCCTCTCTAAACTGTAGACTTTGCATGGGATTAGAGTTGTCCTCAACTGCAACCAGTCCTACTCTTGCAACCTAATGGAACCCTCTTCCATCCTTAGGCCCCATGGCAGCCGCCTGGGCTGCTATGGCTATAGTTACTCCACTGGGTATATGTTTGCCACTGAGGGAGGTAGGGAGAACATTAAAAGTTTACTTTCAAGTTTACACGCATATGAAAAGGTCTGCATCTGCAAATGATCTTTTAAAGCCTAAGGTGGAGCTTTAAAATGTCATTGCTGTTTCCTGCAACATTCTATGTTAGTAAAGGGTGCCGGGGTGACTTCCCCCAAAGGAGACACCACCTGAGAGCTTGTAGGGGACAAGACTAAAAGGAGGTAACTATAGTAGAGCTGCATTTAAAAAAAAACACATGGGGCCCATATTTTAAAATAAAATGTTAGCCCAGAGTTGGGCTTTAAACTATGGAATGTGCAACCAGTAATCTTTCTCCTACACTTCCATTATCCTCTATACAATCAGAAATTTCAAATCACGCTGATATTCGGAGTAAGTTCCTCTTCCTTTTATGACCTGCTAAAATGAGAAAATGTATCACTTTGCCGACTTTCCATAAAAAGGGAAACATTTATCAGGAATGAGTAACTCTCCCTTGCCTGACATCCTCATTCTATTGGTATATGATGTTGACAACACAGCTCATACAACAGAATAGGGAAAGTTCTAATATTATGAAGCCTGATCCTTTCTTCCTGAATCAGACCTACTTCTGTCAACTACATAATTACTAAAATTATAATGGGGTTATGTTATGAGGCTCATTATTTTATTTCATGATTAGCGGAATTGCTTTTTAATGTTGGCAAGAGACCCGTTGATTTCAGATTTAAGTGATGACGATTCAAGTGTTGTCCGACAATTATTACAAAGATTAAAAACTAGGTTGTCAGAGTGAGAATGCGCAGAAATGATAAGGTTACTGCCAAAACTTTCAAAACAAAAAGTACAGCCAAGATGTGAAATTTGTTTGCTCCTAAAACTCTGCAATTAAAAAGTTTGAAACCAAAATAATTCAGTGTTGTCTGTTTATGGCTGAATGCTATCCCCCAACATCATATACTTAACTTTCCTCCCCACCCATCCACTGCTACGTTCAGTGCTAAGAGTCAAAGCAAATACCCATTATGTCCAGGTATGAAGAAACATGTGACTCACTCAATATAACAGTGCTATGCAAGGAGTCCATGGTCATGTGTAAAGTATAACTCCAATAACTTGGATCTTATACATGGCTCTCTCCTTTGGCACCCAAGGGCTGAACAGATTGGTGTGGTAACAAAAGTAAGGTGAGTATATGCTGCTGGGGCATTAAAATTAACCTGATGTTTTGTTCTGCATGGGGGAAGCCCAGCTTGGGTTTGAACAGAAACTATAATCCTAATAATGTTTTTATAGATAAATGTGAAAATGATCATCGCAAAGTAATAACTGATAAGATCAT